AATCATATGGATTCAATATTAGTAGCGCCATCTGTGTAATAGCCTACGCACTTTTTAGCCCATCTAGTACAAGCAGCATGCATGCGATACGTGGATGTTGTATTTGCTATTTTTGCCACGAATATAGGAGTAATGTAAAGGATGTTGTAACTTGTCTCGAATTGAAAATGACAAAGAGTTACCATTCTTGGATGTTTTGGTTATAAGAAACGCCGATAAGGGTTGGGAAATTGCGGGAGTACATTTTCTTGTCCATGCGGTGGTCACATTTTCCTTGATCAAAGGAAGATATGATATCGTGAAGAAAGTTATCAAGGAGATAGCTGAGAATAACGGGTATCCCTCAAACATTGTGGATAAGTTAAATAGGAAGAGAAAATTTAGAAAGTGTCTCAGTAAGTCCTTGACTTTTCAAAAAGACGTATATTCAGAATTTATAGTCCTTCTATAAAAAAATACACCATATGAATTGGTTCAAATTTTAGAATAATTGTATATGAAAGTGGCTTTGATAACTACTTACGCTTCAGGAAGTTCAGGCAACTCGATAGACAAGATGTTGGAAAAGGAAAGTCTGGGTATTGCGAAGTAAGCTGTGAGGATTGTGATGAAAAGTATGTCGGTCAAACTAAGCGGACTATAAAAGCTCGCTGCAAGGAACATGAATGACCTTTTTTCAGGTATACAGTCGAGTTCTGTCCGATAGTCAATTACGTAGGTACCCCCGAATTCTGTTCGTAGTCTTTCCCTACAGTCAAGAGAATAACCCTACTCTTCACTGTCGTTGTCAGTAATAGTAGGGATAATAGGGACCGAACGTTTTGACCTTTACGCCAACCAATAGCAAGAATCTTTCTAAGCATACTCGTAAAATTAACAACTAAAATTAAAGAATTTCTGAAGGCGAAAATTCTTCATGTCAAAGGATCTTAATACTGAGGTCTGAGGTTTATGAAATTAAAAACTAAAATTAAAGAACTTCTGACGACGACAATGTTTCATGTCAAAGAATCTAAATACTAAGGCTTAACATTAAAAGGTTCTGAATACGAAAATGCTTCATGACAATAAAGAGAAAAGAAACTCACCATGAAACGTAGAAAAAGAAGAAGCTATAATAGCCAACTCGAAATGTACGTATTGCTTCGCAGTGAATAACTGATAAAAAAGTTTCGGACAATTGTGAACTGTACCATCAACAAATATAGATTGTAATTCACATAAGGTTCTGAAATCTGAAACTGTAGAAAAGCAAAGAATATTCTTGATGGAATCGTTGAATTGAAGACCATTTTCGGACACATTCGTATCGATTTCCATGCTATTAAGAACGTCATGAAAATCATTAAGCGACTGCGGAAGTTTAGGAAGATCAGACGGCCTGCAATGGTTAATATTATTGCGTATTAGAGCAACATCTAGTGAGCACAGTTTTGAAACGTCAGTTCTATACATTTCATAATGAAGGAGCTTGGATGGAGGTGCTGAAAACTCGTCGAGAGCTCTCATTACTCAATTTTTGCCGCTCAAAAAGATAGCGTCGTCTTTCGAATGATATGTTTGCTTCAGCACCGATTCCGGACAGAATTTCAGGTACAAATTTTGATCATGGAACTCAACTCGAGGGTCCCATTGAAGAACCCGGGTACAGCAAGCGCCAAACGTGGTGGCACGCGATCGCCAACTAAATTACTATTAGATTACGATAAGCCCCTTGCCGGCCAGTATCGCACCTGTAATTATTTTAATAAGGGTAGCAAATGGAACAAAATTTCTTTGTATCTGTAGAGTAGGGAGGGTGAGTGTAAGCCCACGCACTTAGGCCACATGTGACTCATTGTGCATCCTCCCGAGGAGTTGTCCTTCTAGGTCATCGTCCATCCTGTCCTTTTAAAGAAGGTGGACCGGTCACTGGGAGATATCTTCTTTATATCGAATTAACCATCAACCAATTCAAGACACCAAACCAACCATAGCTCGTATTATAAAGCAAGATTTCTGCGTGGATGACATGCTTACGGGGCGGACTCTCTTCAAGATGTTGAGCGGATATGCTGCAAGATTTCCGATGTCCTTAAAGGTGGTTGTTTCGAGCTCCGGAAGTGGTGTTCTAATTCACCCGAAGGCTTACGAGAAATTGAAAATTCTAACCTAGCTTATGATATTCTTGAATTTTCCACTGACTATAAAACATTAGGTTTAACTTGGTCATGTCAAAGCGATAATGTACGTTACAATGTACAGGTAAACCATAATGAGCAAGATTTTAAAAAAGATTCATCTTGTCCGTTGTGTCTAAGATATTTGATCCTTTAGGATTACAGAGTTCGTGCATAATTTTAGCGAAAATTCTAATGCAGGATTTATGGCCAACTAAAGTCTCCTGTGGGATGAACCTGTACCCGATCATATAAAATCTACTTGGCTCAGCTTTCAGCGTGAATTATCTTTGCTAAATAACTTATCTATACCTCGTCACGCTATAATACAAAATTGTGTAAGGGTCGAGTTGCACGGGTTCTGTGATTCCTCGGAACGCGCCTATGGTTCTTCTGTATATCTGCGTAGCATGGACAAAGAAAGCAATCCTCGCGTCACACTACTTAGCGCAAAATCTAAGGTTTCGCTACTAAAAACCGTCAGCACACCGAGGCTCGAACTTTGCGGCGCAGTGTTATTATCACGCCTGACAAACAAGGTCGTAAATTCAATCAATTTGCAATTCGATCAGTGCTTTCTTTGGTCCGATTCAACCATAGTATCAACTTGGATCAAAACCAGTCCAAATTTATTGAAAACGTTTACAGGGAATCGAGTCTCCGAAATTCAAACACAAACCTTTCATTGGAGATATGTTTCTACCAATGATAATCCTGCAGACATAGTCTCCAGAGGCTTGTTCCCATCCGAAATTTTACGTTCCACGCATTGGTGGGAAGGTCCACATTGGCTATTTTACGATCAAGCAAAATGGCCAAGTGAACAGCAGCTCCGCCTAGGTGATCTACCAGAGTTGGAGTCTCAAACACATTCAGCTCGCGAGCCTGAAAGTATTTTAGATTTTCCTTTCGAAAGATTTTCTAGCTTCAATAAAATGCGCAATGTTACTGCATAATTACGCTTTAAGGAGAATTGTTTCAAAACAAAAAACACTAGACTTAAAGGTAGTCTCACATCCCAGGAACTAAGTCTCGCTACCAAAACGTTAATTAAAATATGCCAACATCAATGTTTCTGTAGCGATATGCAAGAATTACAGAAAGAAAACAAATTGAAATCATATAATAAGCTCAGGACGTAATCTAGCGAGTGCCACGGTACGAAAGTGTATACGCTGCTTCAGATTTCGCGGTTATATGGGACTATTTGTTTGCTTCTCAACTAAAGCTGTTCATCTGGAACTGATCTCTAGCCTCTCTTCCGAAGCCTTTCTCCAATCATCTCACGAAGAGGTAAACCTAGTAAAATTTATTCCGACAATGGAACTAATTTCTTAGGCGCCCAGAAAGATTTAGGAAATTTTCTAAGGTCTGCACACAACATCAGCAATACTAAAACATTTTCCTCTGAAGAATTTATCAATTGGCAATTTATACCGCCCTATTCGCCTCATTTTGGGGGACTCTGGGAGGCCGGAGTCAAAAGTTCAAAACCTCAAATAGTTTTATCCAAAACACCTCTTGTTTATGAAGAGTTATCGACTTTATTATTAAACTCCCGTCCATTATCTCCCCTAAGTTCTGACCCAAATGACCTTACTCCTCTTACCCCTGCTCACTTCATAATCGGCAAGCCCTTAGTAGCTGCTCCTGATAAAGATCTTACGGACATTAAGGTCAATAGGCTGAACCGTCTCCAATTGGCTCAGCAGATGTCGCAGCATTTTTGGAAAAGAAGGCAGCTCCGCCGCAAATGGCGAGAAACCCAAGGCAGGCTTCTTGAAAATGCCTTAGCTTTGCTCAAAGACGATTAGACCCTACCTACCCAAAGGCAGCTAGGACGAATCCTTCATTTACATCCAGGGCATGATGGCGTTTGTAGAGTTGCTATCATAAGGACTTCCACCGGAATCGTAAAGCGAGGTTACCAGAAAATCTGCCCTCTGCCTCTAGAAGTTTGAAAAAGGGTCATTTCAAGGTGGGGAGTATGTTCCCGCCACGCCTTCAGTCTGCGCCGGTGCGAATCTACCCCCCGAGAAGAAGAGTTTCACTAGTCTATCAGTTACCATCGCAAGAGTGTCTAACATTGAGTGTCGAACTATAAGGACTATCGGTCAACGGCATTCAACTCATTCAATACCAATATATTTATTAATAGTATTTTATTGTACATAAATCTGTTAATCTTAGTGCTCAATATATACAGTCCACCTATACCACTCATACAATACAACAAAGATAAACAGTTATTACCTACCGAGGCTTTGGCTAAATCTTGGTGGCACTCTAGTACTAGCCCTGAGGTAACACGTTGTCTGTTCAAGGCTAATAGGGCTTGTCTGCTGTCAGTGCAGATTGTTATGTTTTTGCCAGAAATTCCTTTCCTGGTTATTCCTTTCTGGCGATTGAGATACCAGCCAGTTTTGTTTTGCCTGACTCTTGATGACTGATTTTTTGTAAGGCGATGACATTTTTTCAGAAACATCACAAATTATTCAGACAATGTCAAACGCCAACAGCATTGGAGGACAAGTGATGATACAGAGCATTTGTATGTCTTGCAAGAGCTGTAGTATGGGGGTTACATTGAAAATAAGTTTGTGCGCATGGCGGCAGGCTCGCCATCACGTTTGGCGCTTGCTGTACTTACTGATCACCGGACGGAACTCGTGTAGGCGCATAAAAACATTGCATAGTCGTTAGAAAAGTAGTCTTAGTCATCTCCTGATGATGAAAACTTGGTAAGTGAAAAGCGCGTTAAGAAACAACATTTTTGTTCTGGTGAAGGCCGATGTTCCAAAGTCTACTCATCAAATTATTACTGGAGATGTATTCTTTCAGCCGAAATAATAAAATACCTACCACCTGGCATTTTGTGCGTGTGTTTTGAATTTTTGAAAATGGAACAGTTGGAAGGCGAACGAGCCAATCAGAAATTATATCTAGATTCGGACGGTTATCTGTATTGTATGAACAAAGTGAAACAAAAACGATATTTGTTGTGTCGGTGGCGAAATCGATGTCCGGGAAGACTAATCTGGAAGAACGATGGACACAAAAGACTCTCCGTAGAACACAATCACGTACCGGATAAAATGGAAGTGCAGATAGCTCGATTTAAAACGTTTTTGAGGCAAAGAGCTCGGGAAAGTACAATTTCCATTCATCAAGTTTTTTTAGACGCGGAACAATTGTACCCGGAAGCTGCGATCGCTGTTGGAGGCTTCACTGGTGTGAAAAACTTGATGTACAGGAGTAGAAAACCGGAAGCTGTTTCTGTTCCCTGCAACACGATTGACTTCACTCTTTCGGTGGAAGATGAGTGAGTAGATAATTTAAGTTATAGCGAGGTTTTCTGTTTACTATACAGGGCTTTTCATGATGAGCGTTAATTAGCCGTTTCTGACAAACTATTTAACGGATCAACCTGAAAATTTCACAGTATGCATAAATCAATATGACCTACACGCCTAAAATATTTATGGTAGAAGCGACAACGCCGCTTCGCCTAAAATATTTCAGGCGTGTAGGTCATACTGACTTATGCATACTGTGGAATTTTCAGTATGACCCGTTGAATAGTTTACCAGAAACGGCTAATTAACGCTTATCATGAAAAGCCCTGTATACTCAGATATTTCTCTTAGGTCAGTAGTGTTAGAATACTTGAGAATGGTGTAAAAACCGAAACCTTGGTCGTATTAATATCAATACATCAAGTAAGTGGAAATTAGACAAAGTATTTCATCTAAATCATTTGATTGATTTTACTTATAATTTCACAATCAGTTGTCCGATTTTTATACAGCTTACATCGATCACTTCGAAAAAATATTCTTGAGATGGGTAACTATTGTTTCTCGATTTTTCTCCTAGAAAAAAAATCTATACTTAATTGTTTATAAATAATGGAAAATGGGAGTTTCCCTCCAGTGAATATATGTTTTAAAAATACAGTACATTTCCAAATCATTACCTTTTCAAATTAAACCATTTTGAAGTAAAATAGAAAATGCATCCAGTTCATGGCACCCTCTAATCATCCGAGAATTCGTTTTCCGAGATTGCAATTGCAGGCGGCTCCAAACCAACAACTGTACGGAATCTTGCGCAGACATATTACGTTCACTGTATCAGTGTGAGTTTGTATTTATACGAATTACTTTCCAGTAAATATCTACTTTTTGGTTCTTTTGTGATCATGGGAAAGATAAAAGGCAGGCTAGGCGTTGCGGAGGGAAAACGATTGTTCGCAAGTGAGAAAAGACGTAGTCGTAGAAATGTCGGAAAGAAATCATTGATGACAAGGTAAGTGTTTTTGACTATTCAAATAATTAGTTTCATCACACCATTTTGGAAATTTGAGCGATTTCATTACAACTCAAAGTTTTCTATTAGTTACATTCTGAGCAACAATGGTTAGGGCAAATTTATTGCAATTTAAAACGACAAACAAAACGAGTAATCATACCCGATTCTACATTCATAGAAGAAAAAGATCGCGTTCTTTTCAAAAACATGAAAAATAGAGATAAAGGTCCTAAAAATATGAGCGATAGCTCATTCAATTCGGAATCACTTCTAGAAAAATGTTCTTGAGTTGCTGCTTTTTTTCCATGATTGTTTCGGTAATGGTTCTAAATGTCGACTATGGTATGGGGCATTGTCCATGACGATGACAGACCCAGGTTCCACTCCTACAACTCTACTGCTTACTATATTTTGATTCTGCTATAAACTGGTAACGTAAAATTTAGATATGACAACGCGCTTTACTCTCAATCATTATTGGTTTTACTATAGCTGGAATTATATTTGTTTGGTCGTGATACTCAGACGGTTCACACCGTTCTGAAGAGACCATACCCGGTACTGACGATGGGGAAAAACCCCTAAACCGATCTATCGGTTGGTCGGATCGACCAAACGAAATTAATTTCTGCCATGTTATGTAAGGAAATAACTTGCAACGAATCTTCCAAATCGAAGACGTTGCACAGGTGCCTAATGTTTTTACTTCAACTCTTTACGCGGCATCAGCTGGGTTAGTTGTTGTTTTTCCGTTGGGTATCTGCCACACGTGCCTACAAAGTCGTAGGTCTACATGAGAGGAAAGGGGCAACCTTGGGCATGTCATATATATTTTCAATATGGGGTTCCATAACACAGATTCATATTCCAGTTTAGATCGGACAAAACATTGATACAGTATCTTTCTAGTAGACAAATTTATGAAATGTCTTGCAATGAAGACGTATGCATTCACAATATGAATTAATGAGTATATCTACTTTGAAGGTGAAATGCGTGTCAAAATACGTAGATTCCGAGATCTTTTATACCTTCTGTTTCACATTGTAGATTGAGCATTTATAGTGAGAAGAACTATTATTTTTTCCACGAGTGTCAGTGGATGAATTCATGAATAACTTTTCTTTTTTTTTTTCAAGCGAAGTCGAGTATCTCCGAAGTAGTAGACTTAGTACGGAATTAATAAAAGTGGCAACCGCGGTTGCCAACATTCATTACTCTCGCCCAGGATGACCGTGAGCGATAGAGAAGGGATTCGTGCGATCGTGCGCTGTTTTGTGTTGTATATGTTACGGGCAACGTGATCAACTGGGTATTATTATTAAGGATCGGCCATTATTAATAATGCCCAAGAGCGGTGGGCAAAGTCATTAATTCATCACTTTGAACGGCGATTATCAATAATGTCCGACGGCCCGTGGTCCATGTAATAAGTCAGTGTTTGAGATAGCTTGACTTCATCACTTGGACCGGGCAGTATGAATAATTCTCTACTTGTAGCCGGGTACGCGGCGACGTATTAGTTCGCAGTAATACTTCGGAACGAGAACACGTGAGTGCATTGAGTACGTTTATATCGTAAAATGGCGGCATCCATGGATATGATGGATATGAAAAGACGTTTTAACGAAGAAATTCATAAATTAAAATTAACGAAGGGGAAAAACACGCAGTTATTTTCTCGCGATGAGTATTATTCATTTTTAACCAAAGTGCAAGTGACGAAAGACAAAATCGCCGGCAAAACTCCTGGCGAATATCAGCGATTGTCGAGGTATGACATAGTGAAGATCGGAACAGTTCAAAAATTAATCGTACCAGTGAAAAAGGACAGAGAACCAATTCAATATTACTGTTATTTGGAAGAAACGTTTGATATTATTCACGAAACTCACATTTCTATCGGGCATGGCGGTAGAAATAGGATGATGAAAGAGCTCAAACCGAAGTACAAAAATATTACTAAAGAGTTTGTGGCGTTGTATTTGACTTTGTGTGAACCATGTCAAAAAAAATCAAGTGTTCCAAAAAAAGGGCTAGTGGTTAAGCCTATAAAAAGCAGTGAATTTAACTCACGATTCCAAGTCGATTTAATCGACATGCAAACTCAAGCAGACAATGATTTAAAGTAGGTAACTACTGATATTATTATATTTTTAACTATTTATTTTTTAACTACTATACAGGTGGCGCTGTACGTCACCTCCTTGATATAATTCGAACTCACTTTACATGTATTTCTTAATTTGAAAAAAGTATTTTTTTTTATTAAAATTAACACGCTTTATATCAGCTT